ACACGGGAGAAGATGCTCAATCTTTCTTCCTTAAGTCACTGGTGGATTTGAACACTAGAAAGGAGCCATTTTTTAGTTAAAAGTGCAGCTTCCTGTTATGCAGATGATGCAAACTTGCTTGCTAAAAGTGAGGAAGACTTGAAGCACTTATTGCAGAAGATCAAAGAATACAGCCTTCAATATGGATTGCATCTCAGTGTCAAGAATACAAAAATTCTTAGCACTGGACTCATAGACCACATCATGATAGATGGAGAAAAGGTTGACATTGTCAACAATTTCATCTTACTGAGATCCACAATCAACACCCTTACTACCAGTAGTTAGGAAATAAGGAGACATACTGCACTGGGAAAGTCTACAGTAAGGGACCTCTCCAAATTATTGAGGAGCAATGATGTCATTCTGAAGACTAAGGTGCTGATTGGGGCCATGGTCTTTCTGGTCATTTTTTATGCATTTTTTTTTTGAAGTGGTTCCAATTTGACTTATTGGTGAATGAGTAATTTCCTGTGGTGAAGGAAACAGGTCATGTCCCAAGGACCTGAACCCAAAAATTTGGCAGTATCTTGTCATTCCTTAGGAAAAGGCTGCACTCTACTGCTCTGGTCTACTCAGAGAGCATCCAGTATGTTCTGTACATAAAGAACTCAAAATGGCTCTATCTCCCTGGAATGAGAACTACACCATTCAAGGTACAGGGCAAAGATAGATTCCCAGCACCACTGGAGTGTTTGCTTGGTACTAGCAGCCACTCAGTGTTGAATAGCTCACAGAGAAAGAACAGGAAAAGTATACATACAATAACAATAATTTGCAACCTGGTGGGAGCACTCTTGGAGCTCTCAATGCCAACAATCAAATCTGCTGTAGAGAGGAGCTAGATGGGCCTATCCTGTGGTGATGGGTAGTTATAAGCATCAGTGAGTAGATCAGCTGTGATTTTGAAACCTGTCAGAACTCTTCCATAATGAGAGTACTTACTGAGGAGCGGTTCTGTTCAAGTGGACTGTGTCAGTGTCTGTCTCACCTGTTATGTTATGTCTCAGCAAGGGCCTCCAGATGAGGGAGGGCCAGTGTCAGGGGGAGGGACCTTCAGTGAGAATGCTGAGCTGTCACTAGCTGTATTCCTAATAACCTTTAAGATGGGTTTCTAGCAGGCACTGCATTTTATCAGTTGGTTTGGTATTATCTTTTTTTTTTTTTTATGGATTTTTATGCATTTTAAAGCTAGACAAGACAGCATAGAGAGAGATCAGTTGGCCTAGTGGACAGAAAGTCACGCTCCCAAGCCAAAGGTGTGTGTGTCTCTAATCCGCAGCCCTCAGGCCTGCCTTTACTTGTTTTTGGTGAAACATTCTTCTAGGTCGTATAACCCTGGTATGTCCATTTGCTGTACAGAAGTAACTTGTGGTTGCTGTGAAGCTGAACACTGTGACACTGATGTGTCAAATGCGAGAATGGTCACCCATGGTGGCACTCCCCAATTCAAACAAGCTTGGAAGCAGGAGTGGGATCCACTTCAGTAATAGCTTGCCTCTGGAAACCCTATGAACCTGGAGAAAGGACGGAAGTTAAACAGGTGCCCAGGTCTTTTCGTTCATAGGATCACTATGAGTGGCCTCCGACTCGACAACACTTAACAACAACAACAGAGCTGGACAATGAACAAGGATGACAAAAGAAAGATTGATGCCTCTGAGTGTAATGCTGTAGAAGAGTACTGAATATCCCATGGACTGCCAAAAGAACAAAGATACGTCTTGAGGAAAGTACAGAGTGTTTCTTGGAGGCAAAGGTGATAAAGCTTTGTCTCACATATTTCATGCCTGTTTCTAGGAGAGGCTGTTGCTTGGAGAAGGTCATTATACTTGGAAAGGAGAAGGGTCAACAACAGAGAGACCCTCAACCAGGTAGATTGACAGGTTGATTGCTGCAGTGGGCTCAGAGATGATGAAGATGGCACAGGATAGGACATGGTTCAGATCTGTTTTCACAGGGTTGCTGTGGGTTGTACTCGACTCAACGGTACCTAATAACAAGAACATAAAGTGACCTTTAATCATCGAAAGGTGGGAGCCAGTAGACATATGCTTCCTTTTTTCTCATTTCAGCCTAACAGTCTTGAAGTGCATTTCCTAGCATTTCTTATAGTGTCCCAGGTAGTTTAGTCCACTCCTTTGTATTAATTCCATCTTTCCTGATTATATCATTATATCATGTCCTTTATTCTTACTTACCAGTAAAGTGTCCTTGCACAAGCCTTCTTCTCATACTCTCCCGGCTGAGGAAGGAAAAAAGAGCTGAGGTTCAGAAATTAATTTCTGAGTTCATTTGTATGTTCTAAAATCCAAACTCTTGACTATTTTATATCTGCTGACTTTAGGAAATAACTATGAAGTTTTCATTTTTGTGTATATGAAATGGAAATTATAAATAAATATAAATAGAGCTCTTAATGAATGAGATAAGCTATATAAATTGTATATAAAAAATACTTACTGATGAAAAGAAGCCACTGTTCTTACAAGTTTATATGCTACTTTCTGATACATTATAAGAGTTATTTCAGTATAAAAATTTCTAGCAACAGAGTTCTCAACAGCTTCACAGAACCCAATATAGAGAAAATACCAAAATGATTCTGTTGAAATCATGATCAAATAGACATAAAAAGATTTTTCACCTTCCTAAATTTTTTACTTTGTTACAATTATGCTCTATTAGCTGTGACTTAACATTGCACAAATCCTCACCACGGGACCAGTAGGCAACATTAATATAGATGGAGAAAAGACTGATGATGTCAATGATTTCATTTTACTTGGATCCACAACCAACACTCATGCTAACAGTGGACAAGAAATCAAAAGATTTTCCTTTTGTGACTGAAACATTCTACTCAGCATAAAGTCCTCCAGGGTCACCTATGTTGTGTAATGTTTTAAGAATGCATTGTTTATAGTGTGGCATAGTATTCCATTGTATGAGTATACCATAGTTTTTCTATCCATTGGTTTGTTGATAGGAATATTTAAAATAAAAAAGGGAGGGAAAGGGAAGGAGAGGGGGTAAATTTTGCAACAATGAATGAATGAAAATCTTCACTTTTCTGTAGACTTTTGTTAAAATCACAATTAAAATAAAAAAAAATTACAGAATTCCAGAGTGAAGGCTGCATAGTGGAGTGGACTTGAGGGGAAAGATTGCATAACAATGAAAGCGTTTTTCTTTTCAAGGAGAAGAGTGAATTGGGGTGGAGGAGTGGGCTGGGAGAAAAGTGCAACAGTGAATGACTAGAAACCCTAAGTCTCTGTAAACTTTCATTTAAATTAATAAAAAAAAAGTTTAAAAAAAAATCAAAAGATGTGCTGCATTGGGGAAGTCTGCTGTCATAGATCTCTCCAAAATGCTAAAGTGCAACAGAATGACTTTTTTTTTATAAACTGGGAAGCTATTCCAATTTTTATTCTTAAAATTATGAATTGAAATTGCAGAGGCAGATTTACAGAGCAACCCCTGAGCAAGAGGAAAATTTTGCACAGTTTTCAAGAATACATACTCAGCTAGAAATCTAGTTAAACTATGGTTGCTCACCAGGTTACATTCATTTCTGCATTTTCTGATTAAGTTCTTCCTTATATTTGCCTTTTTCTTTCCTAGAGACTAGAGATTTGGCTTTACATTCAAGAATCCTCTCCCCACCCCCACCCCCGGCATTGAAAAACAAGAAACTCATGGAATACTTTACAAAATGGGTGACCCTGGAGGACATTATGCTGAGTGAAATATCTCAGACACAAAAAGACAAATACTGCATAATGCCACTATTATAAAAGAGGACTGACATAGGCATATCTTCTGTAGCGTGGTGTGGTTTTTTTCCTTAGAATAATTAAAAAATGTTGTTGTTGCTGTTGTTGATTGCCTTCGAACCAAGCACGACTCATAGTGACCTAGTAAACAAAAGGCCTGAAGCCTCTCCACAACTGTTGACATTTATTGATATTCATAGGGTTTCTGGAGGCATATTATTTAGAAATTGGATGCCACTCCTGCTTTGACATGTTATTTATGTTTTATTAAAACGCTAGGCAGTAAAGGGGTAATGTAAATGTGCAATAGGACTGTCGTGCATTATATTTTTTCCCCCCTTGGAAGCAGGAGTTACATCTACTTCCTAAACAACATGCCTCTGGAAACTTTATGAACTTTGGTAAATGATAATAGTGATAGGAGTGGCTTCAGGCCTTTTGTTCATAGGGTAGCTATGAGTTGTGCTCGACTCAACGATAATCAACAACAACAACAATATCTGCTAAATAAGTATCATTATTTCCATTTTGTGGGCAAATGGTAGTTTATTTGCCTAACATAGCTTCTAAGTGCTAGAACTCTTGGAACCCAGGTTTTTATTCCAGAGCCCATGATGCTATTTGACAGTCCCTAAATAAGGAGCTCATGCTTTTGCCTTCAGTCTCTTTGCAGACTGTTATCAGGACGTCCATTCTGACCCTGTTTAGTATAACTTGAAAGGTGTTGTGGGTGTGTGAAGTCATTTTTTTGTTGTTGTTGCCAATTAGATGTAAAGACCCGTCTTACCTAGTTCTAACTTCTCTGGCTCTCTGTCTTCACTCTTCTCTTCTCTTTGGATCCTATATCTGGCTCATGAGAATAAGGACCATTTATAAGTTCAGGTTCTCTTTTTTTCTGTTTAGTGAATAAATGATATATATTTTATTATGTGTATTAGTTTTATGGTTTCATATTGCTGAAGAATTCAAAGCAGTTGAATCTTAAGTCATGAAGTGCATGTTTGGCAAGAGCCATGTAAAAGCAGATCTTAAAATTAAGAGGACTTTATATCTGGTAAGAAAAATAGTCTCAAAACTGCCATGTGATTTTTTTTTTTTAAAATCCAATAAACTACTCAGTAAAAGATGTTTCTAAGTTTAGTGTTGTCTAAAATTCTACTGTCTTGGTATAATTTGTATTTTTAGTTGAGAGAAGAAAAGTTACAAGAGGAGAAAAACTCTGAAGATCAAAGTCACAAGCTGTTACCAGAAGATATAGAAACAGGGAAAAGAAAAATGGATGAACAGAAGAAAAGAGATGAGCCTTTAGCACTGAAATCAAATATGGAACGTGTAAGTAGATCACCTTCTGATGAACATCTGCCTCAGAATCAGCAACTATTCCAGGTGACATGGATCTGAAAATCCTATGTTGATGAATTATGAGACCAGTAACAGTCATTGATTGTACAACTTAAGAATAGTGAAGAGCTTAGCATCCAGATGAAAATTGGAGAAAGTAATTGATGAATGGGACAGTGAGACCTGTGTGGAAAGATTGAGGGAACAGGGGGGATGAAGGTGAGTCAGAGGAAAAATTTAGTATATTAATAGTATATTGCTTGTCATAGCTATTGTGTATATTGTTATTTTAACTCTTATGTTGTTATTTGATATTTAAAGTTTATACACGTTATATCCTCGAGATGTAAGATCTTGAAATTTTAGGTTTCTTTAAGGCTTGTCTTTTATCTCTGTTGGCTTTTTTTGTTTTTGTTTTTTTTTAGGAGTAAGAAGTCTGTTTTATTTTAGCTCCTACACCACATTATTACAATACAAGGTAGAATATGCAAAGTTCTTGAAAGGGAACAGAAAGTGCCCTGGGGATTGTATGAGGTTCAGAGAATAGATTGTGTAAAGGAGGCAGCCTGTCCAAAGGACATAATAGCCTAGCAGCATGGTACTAGATTACAGTAGGTCATCAGTATTAGATCAGAAACCTGGTCTGAACTAATGTAATTAGACCACTCAGACTTACTCATTGCCAGCAAGTCAAAACCAACCCATAGCAGACCTTTCCTTAGGTTTCCCAGGCTGTAAATTGGATGAGAGGAGAGCATTCATCTTTTCCCCCACAAACCTACTGGTAAATTCAAACCATGAGGGAAGCAAGTTAACAGAGCAACATCCTAGGTACTAGGCTACCAGAACTTCCTAATTAGTCCCATGTTGTTATGTACAGTCAAATTGGAACCATCTCATAACTGACCCTCCAGCTGGTTTTCCGAGGCAGTAAATTACAAGAGAGGAGACTGCTTGTCTTTCTCCGGTGGAGCACGAGGTAAATTCAAACCAAGTGCCTTTGGGTTGGCAGTGCAGCTTCTTCCCACTATGCCCTTGTTGTTGTTGTTTGCCATGGAGCCGGCGCTGATCCTCCAGGACAGGAGATTACACATCCAGGAACATCTGGTGGATTCAAACCACCTATCTTTTGGTTTACAGTGCATCATTGCCTGACTTTTTTCCCCTGTTATTTATTTACCAAACAAATTGCTGTACAAAATTACAAGAGATAAATTTAACTTACATAAAAAGCACTTTGAGATGATCTCATTATTATTTCATTTTACTTATTTCGTATATCACATTGGATTGGAAGCCTGCCATTGCTTCCTTTGTGTCCTTAACATATCTTTTACATTAGTATCTTTAAAAATATTTTGTGCTTCTTAGTGTTTCAAGTTGATCTTTCTAGTTAGTCAGAATTAGTAAAATTTTCTCATACATAAAAGCAGGAAATACTGAGTAGAAAAAAAAGCCCCTTTGGACTTAGAAGTCTCCTTTCTAGAGTGGTCTCAGCTCTTTAAAAGATTTTACAACTTGGGCCCAGTTGCTTAATTTCTCTGTGCTTCTGCTTTTCTTTGCAAAAGTACTTTTTTCTTGACTTTAGAAATGGAAATAATTTATACTTTCTTGGATCAATACATACTTTCTTATTTCATTTGTTCTAATAATAATAAAATCAAAACCCAGCGCACTGCCATAGAGTTGATTCAGACTCAGGGCTGCCTCCCTTGCCTTTCTGAGTGAATAAATTTTAATAGGAGACTCTCATTTGTTCCCCTGTGGAATAAATCATGGATTCAGACTACTAACCTTTCAGCTAGCAAACCAGTACTTCACAAACTATACACTCAGGTCTCCTTGTAATAATAATAATAATAATAATAA